TTCTATTTACCATTTTCCTTTCTACTTTGTCACTGCCACAGTAAAGTTTTTTCTATTATCTTATCAAAAGAACATTCATAACCAAGATGTCACAGTTGACTGTAATAAGGTATGAATGAACTGTGTAATTTATATTAATACATGATGACCTAAAACATTCAGGTTCTGCATCACTTTGCACTATTTAGATTCTTGGTACACAGTTAGAAAAACATGAGTAGAACTTTAATCGACAATGGTGGACATAGGATGAGCTTTAACTAAGTATTTTCTTACTTTAGCTGATATTTACTTCTATTCCCATTTGAAAATACTGGTTCCTCCAATACACTCCAGTATGTCACACTCTGCTTTATAGTCAAGATTCTAAAGTTATTTACTTTTTCTGTTATGAAGTTCTCAAGTGGAATTCAGAAGAGGCAAAAGGACTACATGAAGCCTGTGAGTTAAGATGATATGGCATGTATGTAGTATGAGGTGATGCTTTCTTTTTTCTTCTTAAGTAAAAGGAATATACATATTATTTTTATGTCTATTATTTTTAAATAAGAGAACCAAAATAGTTCCAAGTAATTTCTAACTATTAAAATTCAAAATCTCATATTATAGTATATCTCATATAAAATCTCAAAATCTCATATAAAATCTCATATAGTATCTGTATATTTAGAACTAACTAAAAACAGCCCAGGCACAGTGGCTCACACCTGTAATCCCAGCACTTTGGGAGGCAAAGATGGGCAGATCACTAGAAGTCAGGAGTTCAAGACCAGCCTGGCCAACATAGGGAAACCTGCCCATACCCAAAATACAAAAATTAGCTGGGCATGGTGGCAGGTGCCTGTAATCCCAGCTACTCAGGAGGCTGAGACAGGAGAATTGCTTGAACCTGGGAGGTGTAGGTTGCAGTAACCTGAGGTCGCACCACTGCCCTTTAGCCTGGGTGACAGTGAGATTTAGTCTCAAAAAAAGAACAAAGTTAAAAAAGAAAAAGGGAAATGGTTTAGAGTTCAGGTTGCTCTAGCAATTTTCATGTACTCCAACAAAAGTATGAGACCAAAAAGAAAAAAGAAAAGGAAAGAATAATAAAATCATATGACTTAATTTGGAGGCTGCTACCTCTCAAAAACTTAGCATAGATAAAGCATTACATTGCCTGGTGCTAAACAACATACAAAAGGAGTCGTTTGACAACAAAATCCTATTGTTTATTACATATTGTGCTACATGCTAAGTGTAATAGCTCATTAACTATGGCAACAGTCCTCTGAGGGCAGTGTTTATAACCTTTTTGTTTGAATGGAAGAGGAGATTTATGAAATATGAAGATTAAGAAGTGTTCTGACACATGCACAGCTAGCAAGTGGGAAAACTGGCACCTAATGTCACTCTCTGTGGCCCCAAAGCCTGTGCTTTTTAACAAAGAGAGACACTGTGACTACACTTTACCATAGAGGAGAATTATTTGATACTACCATATAAATACTCCTGGACTCACTTTATCATACATGGCAATCTCATGGAACAATTCCTCCACCACCACAGGATCTTCTCAATGGCATCAGGTTCTTCTAAACACCACCTCTCACTCCAGGCGCCCTACCTAACATTTCCCAAGAGGCTTTACACGTGGCTCTGGTTGATATCTGAACTCAGACAAGCTCTTTCCTTTTTTCTTACAAGAGCGAACAACTGTAGATACCCCAAGTACTCACATTGGCCAGCGGTTTACAAAAAATATATATTTTTTCCCAGGATTATTAAAAATGATCAAGTGACTAATAGTCATAAGAAAATTGGTAGTATACTTTTCAGTTTTAATGCCTAGAGAAATTGGTTAAGATTCTTAAAATCCTAATGGATCCTGAATGCTTTTGATTAAGAATGTTGGTAAGAAACTAACGTTAGTATAAGTAATATCAATAAAAATAAAGCCTAATGACTCAAAGGGTTGTACCCAGATTTTACTATTTCCGTAAGTCTTAATGCCATATACCATGTATAAATGTTTATTAGAAAATTGAATAATAGGGGCTTTCTTAAATAATTTTATAGTTGTGTAACAATTATAACTGAAGAAAAAGAATGCCTGATTTTCACTTTTTGATTTTGAGAGAGAGAAAGATAGAAGCAGGAAGAGGAGAAGGGGGAAGGAGGATAAGAAGGAGAAGGAAAAGAAGGAGGAGAAGAAGGAGGAGGAAGAGGAGGAGTAGAAGCAAGGTGATAAACAGGGAAATAGTGTAAGAATATCATTTCTATTTCAAGCAGAATGTTAAGAAAAGTCTCCTAAGGAGTTGATATTAACCAGAAGCCTGAAAGAAGTAACAGAGCTGGCTATAGAATTTTTGAGAAAAGGCCGATACAATTAGAATCATAGTGTCTGTATATGTGTATATGTGTGTGTGTGTGTGTATACGTGTGTGTGTATACGCATATTATTTTTAACCTTAACAGATATATCACTATTTCATTGTGCCCAAATTCAAACTTTAGTGATTCGATATTTCTTCTTCTCCAGCTCCAAAGTTCCTTGCAGTTAAGACTAAAAAGTCAGAAATCTCACTGACTCTTTTACATGCTTATTGGTTAACTCTGATCTCTTAATATGGAGAGATTATTTATTTCTGTGCGCATGTGTATGTCTTTGATGGGAAATTTTTATTAATAGTCTTTCTGTTGGTTTTCTCTTCCAGCCTTAGGGCCTCTGTCATAGCCTCAAATGACCAAGACCCACAAACCCTGATGCTCCCTGAGGTACCCTTCTCAGAACAGAAGCCCAATTGTACAAGAGAGTCCCCACAAGTTTCAGCGGGGAGATTACTCCTACACCAGTGCAGGGGAAATCACCAAACAGGAACTAGTTTTAGATACATGAGTTCTTTTTAAAACTGTTTTTAAATTTTTATTGAGGCACAGTTACATATATTAAAATGCTCATATCTTAAGTATGCATTCTGATGAATTTCAACAACAAATAAATTCAATCAAATATATAACACCAATCAAAACATAAAATATTACCAGATCCCTAGAGAATTTTCCTATGCCCCTTTCCAGAAAATTCCATTCCTCCCACAGAGGCATCCACTTTTCAGCTATCTTTTCCAAATGATTGGTTTTGCCTTTCTTGAATTTCATATAAACAAAATTTTATAGTGTATCATGCATTTTTGGCTGCTTCTATTTCATCTATATAAAAAATGAAATACAATATATATATGGAGATTTCTTTATATATATATATGAAATACTACTTAACAGAAAAAGAAGTCTCTCTCCATATATATGTATATATGTGTGTATTTATGCATATATATATATATACACACACGCACAGAGACACACACATTCGGCAGATACATGAGAAAACATATTTCCCTTCATCTTGGCTTTCCTATCACTTTTTTGTTGGTGTTGCGCAGGCTGGAGTGCAATGGCACGATCTCGGCTCACCGCAACCTCCGCCTCCTGGGCTCAGGCAATTCTCCTGCCTCAGCCTCCTGAGTAGCTGGGATTACAGGCACGCGCCACCATGCCCAGCTAATTTTTTGTATTTTTTAGTAGAGGCGGGGTTTCACCATGTTGACCAGGATGGTCTCAATCTCTTGACCTCGTGATTCACCCGCCTCGGCCTCCCAAAGTGCTGGGATTACAGGCGTGAGCCACTGTGCCCGGCCTTCCTATCACTTTTAATAGTGCTTACTGAAGACAAATGATTTTTAATTTTGAAGTCCACCTTATAAAATTTTTGTGCATGTAGTGTTTTTTGCTTTATAAGAAATCTTTGTCTACTTCAAAGAAAAGTGGTTCTTCTAGAAATTTTGTATTTCAGATTTTACATTTAAATCTGCCATTCAACCTGAGTTCATTTTTGTACATAATATGGCACATAAAGCAACGTGTTTTTCTCTAGAACAATTACGATTTAACTTTTAAATTTAAATGTGCAATTCAATTCGAATTAATTTTCATATGATGTGAGATTCAATGTTCACATTTAATGTCTTCATTTAGATATTCAATTATTTCAACATGGTTGATGATATATTTAGGGAATTTTGATTCTGGAAATATAAGAGGGGAAAACAAAAACTTGAATTTGCCTGGCTAATCAGATTTCTGAGAACTACTCTTGAATAATGCCTAGCTGTTGAACAATATATTGGCAATTAACATATCCTTAAGTGTGTCATATTAACTTGTTGGAGGCTTTTTTATAATTGAAAACCCTCCAAAATAAATATAATCTTCATTGTGTACTGTATATGTAGTTTGCTTTTCTGCAACAAACATCTTGAATAATAATGATTTTAAGATTTTACCATGGCTCAATCTTTATACTTAAAACTATTATTGAGTGTCACTATCTACCATAACATTTTGCTTTTCATTAATAGTCACCATAGAACTTGTGACTTCACCTCTGAGACAGTTTTTCCTTTCGTCACTCAAGATGTTTCAGTGATTCTTTTGTTTTGACTGATAATAAACTACCTACCATTCTATACAAAAGATGATAGCATTCCACTTCCTTTCTTCATTTTGTATATTTAGAAGTATACCCAATTGACGTGTACATATCTATTTAATATTAAATATGTGGTGGATACTGACAATTAAATAACTCAAGCCTTATGTAGAGTAGAAAAGATAAAGCGAAGAAGAATTATTGGACGTTAAGAAGAAATTTCTAAGCTAAGGATCAACTAATCAACATAGTAGTCTGGCTTTCAAGGGGGTAAATAATGCCCCAAATTGGTATTGACTCTTACACATGCATGCAAAGAGAACCTCATATTTTTCAAAATTTCAAAATAGTCATATTTTCAATCTCTAAGTGAAACCACACTCTATCTATGACTAACAGGAACTTTGAAGACAAAAGAGGTTTTCACCAGATGAGTCATTTTTCTCAAGTGTAGGGCTATCAGGATTGAGGATAACTTAAGCAGAATAGATCTTTGAGCAACTAAATAAGAGGCAATGCTCAATGGTATTGCTTAGAAGCAAAAAAATATAGGATCATCTACAACAGAATATTTATTTTTCACGACGACCATGATAACCATTACAGCCACAGTGGGCGCTCTATCTACAGCCATACCCACAACCACAGCAAGAGCCAGATCCACAGCTCCCACACACACTTTTGAAATTGAAATACATAGTGTCAGGAGATGAGAATTCAGCCAAGCAACAAAATTTCTGGAGTTTGGAATCCTTGAGATCTCTCATATAATCAGAGGTATGCAAAGTGTGTGTCATTCATACTTTGCCTTCTCATTCCCACAAGAATTTATATTTAAACAAGCTTGTCATTGTTTTATTTTGTGTCATAAGAAAGCCTCTTATTTTAGACCTTCATTTAATTCCTGCAAGTTAATTATAGACTGTAAAAAGTAATTTGCATACTCTATATACATGTTCTCAGCGAGCCCAAATGTACATTCCACAAATATAGTGATGCTAAATCTTGCCTTTCTCTCCACTAATCTATAATTATATCTTGTACTTAAGTTTGAGCTGCTTTTAATTTATTGGTGCATCATCTAAACCAATAATTGGCTTTTTGTCCCTTTATTATTCATTTCCTATGCTCAGTTGACTCAAAGACAATTTATTTTGAAAATAATCAGGGTCAGATCTTCAGTCTTCAGTGTGACATTCTCACCCACTCATGCCCCCACCACCTCTTCTGTTCTTCACACCAGCATTCCAGGACTCTCCATGGGTACCAAAATCTGCAGATGCTCAAGTCCCTTACAGTATTCACCATTCCTTAATATGGTTTTTATTTCACTTCTGTCCCCCCCATATCTCAAAAGAGTTTTATATTATTTATGATTTTCAGATTCTATGATTCACAAATTGTCATTCACATATCTCTAGTCTAGAATACATAAACTCATACCCACCCACCCGTGCATCTGAAGCAAGGTAAATGTTACCTCTTTAGAAGCCCAGAGTATGATTTTTTCTTCACAAGAGATTGTTGAGGTTTGTCCCTTTTCTCTTCCTCTCCGTGTATGTCATATCAAAATGTAATCATGGAACCCTGATCTCATTACCTCTCCACACTACTTCTTCCTAAAAAAGTAATACAACTCTATATACAATAGATACCATAGTTTTCCATTTTATATTTGTTTGTGAGACCAGCATTTCCATGATTATTTTAACTACCTGATAGAAATAGGACAATCACCTCCTTAGAAGAGCATTCAAGCAAGCCCTACTAATCAGATTGGTGGCAGGAGCAGAGAACGTCAACAGGGAGCACCTCCAGGCATTTCTTCAGCTTTTATAAACAACATTCCTTTATGAACAATTTAAATATGGCATTGGTGGCCTGAAACTTAATTTCCCCCAAAAGTTGAATTTACCTTCCAAAAAAAAATTACACAATCACAAGAAAGGAGAATGTCCTTTTCTTTATTTTACTTATTCAATTTCTCTTTGGAACCATCATGATGTTTAAAGCAGAAAAGTTTTCTCTTTGACTACTACAAACATGTGTCTAAAGAGAAAATTATATTTAAACCTAATCTGAAATAGGTATAGAAGTATAGGCTTCAGTTTTATGAAGACCCCTTGTATGTGAGAATAACCTTATAAAACATAGAACATTTGACTCCCTTAATACATTTCTACCATATAGTATAGCACAAATATAATACTATATAATACTATAACTGTACTATATTTATACTATGTTAGCATATATAGTATAACATATATAATACTAATGCATTAGTACCTATACTAGATACTAATATGCTGTAAACTAATAGTACTATATTAATACTATATTCGTATCTATAGTATGATATTAACTTATGACATCTCAAGATTTTATTCATTCACATATTAAGTTGTCATATTTGGCAAATAGAAATACAGGACACCCAATTAATTTTACATAAGCAGAGAATAATATACTGCATTTTAAATAATTTATTCACCGATCTGAAATTCAAATCAAATGTTCTGTATTTTATCAGGTTATCCTCACATACAAGGGATCTATATAGTATATACTAATATCATACATAGTATTAGTATATATTCTTCATATATAATAGTGTGTCAACGATGGGGAAATATTCTGAGATATGCATCATAAGGTGATTCTATTGTTGGGCAAACATCATAGAGCATACTCACACAAGACTAGATTGTATAGCTTTACCACATACCTAGGGTATTTGACATAACCTGTTTTTCCTTTGCGCCCAGACTACAAATGTGTACACCATGAAACTTTACTGATTACTATAGGCAACTGTAACACAATTTTAAGTATTTGTGTCTCTAACTGTGTCTAAATATAGAAAAGGTATAGTAAAAATGGTTTAAAATCTTATGGGACCACTGTTGTATATATGGTTCGTATTAACCAGAACATCTTGTGAACATGGCTGTAACACGAGCTACACTGAATATCGGTGCACCATGCTCTGAAGGAACAAAATTGAACCATTTAATTACTATATTTATAGCTAGTGATAATAAAGACCACTTTAGCATATTTCATACATTTCGTTCTGACAAACATATTCAAAGGAAATTATCTTATTAGTGACTCCTTGGCATCTTTTATAGTCTCTGGAATGGAACAACCACAATCAGGCCACCTTTTAGCCTGGATGTACAGGCTCACGACACCTGTTTGTGTTCTGAAGCTATGGTTGTAAAGCATTTATACAGTATTTATAAACCATTTTACAAAGCATCATGCTGTGGAGTAATAGTAGCTATTTCATAAAGGCAACTTTTGGATTATTGCTTTATATTCTGGTCCAAATAAAACACTTCAGTGTGTAATGGTATCACGCCATGCTTTGAAAAGTATCTATTTTAAGGCAAGTGGCAATGCAAACATGAAATTACATACTCTGTTGTTTCTTTTTTTTTTTTTTTTTTTTTTTTTGAGATAGAGTCTTTCTCTGTCACCCAGACTGGAATGCAGTGGCATGATCTCAGCTCACAGCAACCTCTGCCTCCCAGTTTCAATCAATTCTCTTGCCTCAGCCTCCCAAGTAGCTGGGCTTACAGACGTCTGCCACCATGCCTGGCTAATTTTTGTATGTTTAGTAGAGACAGGGTTTCACCACACTTGCTGGTCCTAGCCTCGTGATCCGCCTGCCATGGCCTTCCAAAATGCTGGGATTACAGGCCTAAGCTACTGCGTGGCCCATGTACTTTTAAAATATAAGTTGTTCATTATATTACCAGCCTATGTATTTTCTGTAAAAAACGCATAAAAAATAGCATGTTAGCTCCTCCAGCTCTGTGTGACCCTATGATTTAAAAATAAAGTCAGTTCAAACTATTTTTCAGAAAAGTTAGAAAGGAATATATGTACACATATACATAGGTTTTAAAAGGCTGGAAGTAAAAGCAATGCAATAACTGTAGTAATTTTCCCTAGTTAGTGAAAATTATGGCTTATTTTCTTTCTTTATTTTTTTCTGTAGTTTATACACATAACAATAAAACATGACTTTTGTCATGAGAAAAATAAGATTATGAAAAATTTGCTGTCTAAGATTTTCTACCTTAAATCTAATAGAAGTCATATAAAAGTCATATTAATGTAAGTGATCAATTCCTTTTATTTCTTAATTATTAACATTTTCCTGCTACTTTTTCAGTTTATAATCATTTCAGAACAATAATATCAATTATTAAATCATATAAAATGTATTTTAACAATATCCAGGACTTTAAACAGATTGCTGTTTCGTTTGCTAGGTTTGCCAGAATAAAGTAACACAGATTATGTGGCTTACACAAGAAATGTATTGTTGGCAGGCCAGAAATAAGAAACCAAGGTAACAGGCGGCTAAGTTCCTTCTGAGGGATGTAAGAGAGAGGAGGCTCCAGGCCTCTGGCACAGCTTCTGGTAACCCCAAGTGTTTTTTACCTTGCAGATTGGGTTCTTCCTCTGTCTTTGCCTAGTATTTCCTCTGTGAACATTTCTTTCTGACTCTAAATTGGTCCTCTTAATAATGACACAGTCACATTAGGGTGAGCCCTAATCCAACATTTGTTTTCTAAGATTTCTACCTTAAATCTAATAAAAGACCTATTAGTATAAGTGATAAACTCCTTTTATTACTTAGTTATTGACATTTTTCCTGGTGCTTTTTCACCTTATAGTTATTACAGAAAATAACATCAATTATTAAATAAAATAGCAGAAAGAAATGATATTTTAACATTTTACCTTGATTATCTGCAAAGACCCTATGTCCAAATAAGATCACATGCACAGGTACTGGGCTTTCACATTCACAGGTCTGGACTTCGACACCCTTTGTGGGGTTACGTAACAGCGCATAATCTCTCATGACTAGAAAAGCAGGCCGTTAACAGTAAAAAGCATGCCAGAATTTAATAACTATAGCCTAAGAAGGATGTTCCATCTTTTGTACTGTAGGAGCTATATTATCATTCAAAATTCCCCAACATAAATAATCTGTATTGTGCACTGCTTACATAGTCTGCTTGTCTTCAGCAAACATCTTGAATGATGAAAGCTTTTTTTTTAATTTTTTATTGCATTTTAGGTTTTGGGGTACATGTGCAGAACATGCAAGACAGTTGCATAGGTACACACATGGCAGTGTGTTTTGCTTCCTTTCTCCCCTTCACCCACATTTGGCATTTCTCCCCAGGCTATCCCTCCCCACCTCCCCCTCCCACTGGCCCTCCCCTTTTCCCCCCGATAGACCCCAGTGTTTAGTACTCCCCTTTCTGTGTCCATGTGTTCTCATTTTTCATCACCCACCTATGAGTGAGAATATGCGGTGTTTCATTTTCTGTTCTTGTGTCAGTTTGCTGAGGATGACGTTCTCCAGATTCATCCATGTCCCTACAAACAACACAAACTCATCATTTCTGATTGCTGCATAATATTTCATGGTGTATATGTGCCACATTTTTCCAATCCAGTCTATTATCAATGGGCATTTTGGTTGATTCATTTTTTTTAATTTTTTATTGCATTTTAGGTTTTGGGGTACATGTGCAGAACATGCAAGAGAACTGCAAAGGTACACACATGGCAGTGTGTTTTGCTCCCTTTCTCCCCTTCACCCACATTTGGCATTTCTCCCCAGGCTATCCCTCCCCAGCTCCCCCACCCCCCGCTGTTCCTCCCC